AAGTATTTTTAACAATTCAAAGATCATTTCAGTGATTAATTTAATTGGAAAAGTAATTAAAATTCCTCTTTTCCTTTTCGGGCCGAAACAGGAAAAGTCCTCTCTCTTTCTTGGCCCAATCTCCTCTCAGCCTGTAGCCCCTCCCCCTCTTTCTGTCGAAGTCTGCTTTGTGTCCCTCTTTCAATCGGGCCAAGAAGTAGAAGCCCAGCCGGAAGTCTAGTTTTCCTCCCTGTCGCTACAGTGGCATCTTCAACCTCCAGCCGGCTGGAGACAGAGCCCGATGCCGCCATTGCCGTCGATTTTCTCCTCCAAATCCGGCCTTATCTCTCGTGCATTCCTAAAATTAGTTGAGGGGATTTGTTTCCCTTAGCCTCCTCTATCTTTTCCCCCAAAAATCCGGTTTTATCCCTTTGAATTCGACGCGAATTTGGATTCGTTTTCGAGTTGACTGTTGTGAGACATTAACCGTACCAACCACAAGCCAGCGTGGGCAATGGCTTTACCTTTTGTATAGCATGATTCATTGCGGGGTGCCAGACTGAGAAGCGGCGAGAAGTCGGTGAGGATCGCTGGGGAGTCCATGCCTCTGGTTATATTTATAGAGTGGGTGATTATGATCTAGGAATGGTGCACTGTGGTGAGTTGTGTTGTGCAGAGGGTATTGTCACAGCCTCTATTCGGGTACTTTTCAGTATCGCGACGCATGGTAGACATGATGTTGAGGCTGTGTCTTGTGGGTACAGTGGTACACCTCTGGCCAGAGTAAAACTATTCGAATAGCCGTACCCACGGTCATGGGCGGGTTGAGCAATGTTTTTCGTGATTAGTCTTATACCTCTCACAATAATTATTGATGCTATAATTGGTAATAATTTGCTTAGCTCCTGGTTTGGAGTTAGATCTGTGCAGTCGGGTTTGGTTGTTCAGAATGGTTAGGCCTGAGCAGCATGGGTGTGCTGTTCAGTGTTGATTAAAATTGATGATTACTCTACTGTTTTACTATTCTTAAATATTTGCTAAATGCTGCTTTTGCAAATGAGCCTATATTATGCCATCCTTTGGTATCCTTGTACACTTGCATATTTGCTGTGTGGCTTGTTGAGTATGTCATATGCTCATTTTTGCAATAATCAATCAACCTCAGTTGAAGAAAAATGATCCAGAAGGAGAAGACGTTTGGTTTATACCCCAGTTGAGCTGCCTGTGGGAGTGGAGCTGAAGCCATCGCTAGACAGTTAATTCCGCTGCTGTTTTCTTTTCTTTTGTAAGTATGTAACGTTATTATTAAGATGGATTTGTATATTAAATTGTCTGTTTATGTACCTCGGCTGATTTCTGGATGATGATTTTATGTACAAATAAGTTCGGAAATTATTAGTGAATTTCTGGGCGTGACAAGGTTGCCGCCTACTTGTTGTGCCGATTTGAGGAAGCCATGTGTCCAGAGCACACCATGCCCATAACCTTTCTTGGCCACCAGAAAATCCCCTCCTTCGATCGGCAACCACATGCCCCTGTCAAGGAGGGGGGCAGCAATGGTTCAATGATTTTATTCATCCCCAGCCATCCACGGGATCGGAGAAAACGGGCTGCACGAATTGCATGTACGTTGTATGAACCAAACTAGTTGGTTATCTAAAGTCTTCTGTCTTTATTTATTTAGTTGCTGAAATAGTTATTATACCAGTAGATACCATGAAACATATAGGGTGAAGATACTTTTATTTAGAAGTTTAGGAACACCTGCAAGTATTCATGTGTGTTAATTAAGCCAAGAGTTGACCCCTGATCTCTTAAACAAAATATGCTGCTATATAATGCACGCTAGCTGCAATACCAGTTCACACACGTACGGACACATTATTGAGGAACTATCGAAATGGAATCTTTCCGTTGGATATTAAAAACAGTGAATGAACACCTAATTTTACATAGATAGTACACAGAAGGAATTAATCATAAAAATATGAACATACAAAGATAGTGGACAAAAATATGAACATCTGGCTAGTAACAACTACACTTTTTTTTTAAAATAACTGAAAACATACTTTTGTCATACAACACACATAAAAAACACTTTTGTCATATATATGGCACATAGACAATTATATAAATAGTCGTGCAATTAGTTAATTAACTACCTACACAGAAATTCTAGTATATTCTTCAATACGTACAACACAATATTCAGGAGATTATTTCTAATGCAGAATATATATATAAAAGAAAAATTCTAAATACCCTCCTAAACTTTGATTGGAAGTCCATCTAGCAGACTGAACTTTATATATACACCTTAAATTGTACAATATCGTTCATATTACTCTATAAGGTGGTTTTCGCAAAGTGATCTTTACCTAATTTGCATTTATGTTGGGTGGGTTTGACTAAGTGACATATGAATTGGACATATATGCTAAAATCTCCATCTAAATGTTTCATTTTTACTCTATTTTTTGCTCTCACTTACAAAGGAATGTCAATACATACTTGTATGACATTACAATAGAGTATAAATGAGTGACCAGTGATTGATGATATGTAAACATGCTATATTAATAATTTAAAACCTCTCAGCATGCAAACTTCCAAATACACAAAACCACCTTAGGGAGCAATATAAATGGTTTTGAAAAGTTTAGGTGGTTAGGTGTGTGGTTTTAAAGTTTTAGTGTGCTAGCTTAGACGAACTCCTATCCAAAGTTTAGGGATATATGGACCTTTAACCTAGAAAATTTAATATTAAAATCATATATTTATCTGTATTCACGATTTAACGAAAAGGTAATTACTACAAGAATCCAGAATTTTCTTGGCTGCCAAAAACTGCCAAGGCAATATATTTTGATGGCCGAACGCCAAGTCTAGAGTGATAGGGAAATTCAGATTTCTTGGCTGCTAACCGTGAGGGAAAGTTTTATTGGTGGTCTAACTGCCAAGAAAACTATGAAGGATATCAAACTTTCGAAAAGCCAATAAATGTAACCTTGACGGCTATTTTTTGACCAACGAAAAAATCAGGTGGCGCCAAGAAAATCCCGGAATCTTGTAATTGAATAAAAATCCGTCAATTATAGATACAACATAGCAAAAAAAATAGTAGAAAAATATGATTGAATATACTAACATGCAGATTGTACACACACATAACTAAGGTATAGGTTTTCTTTTTGTCCAGACTAGCCAATTTTGACTTAGAAAGAACTGTAATTGCACCTCTTTTCTAGTCTAGATAGTGGTGTACAGGTTCACATATGAAGTTAATTACTCAAGAATATTTCAACAAGTAGTTCACCGAAGGACGCATATTTAAAAAGTTCATTACTTTTTTAAACGTTACTTAATATTTTATGCTTAAGACAAGATTTGATTATATTTTATAACTTTGAACATCAAAAGCTTCTCAAATACTTAGTTTTAAAGGAAAATATGTGGTATGTATAGATTTGCGTGGAAAAGAATAATTATAATATCATAAAATTATTGTTTTATGAACTTATTTGACACAAAATTGACTACCAAAGTTTGATTTCAAAATTTTTGACTACTTTTTATCCTAAACGTCAAATATTATGACTAGATGGGGTCTTGCAACGACGCTAGCTTGAAACTGGATATGATTACATTATATGGCCTTGGTCAGTAAAACATTTGACATTATTTCTCTTATTATATCTTACCTTTTCAGTGAGAAATAGATTTTTGGAAGTGCACAGAACCATGGAAACAATATTTTTTTTTAAAAAAAAAGACAAAGAAAGTTAATGTATTCCTTCCGTTTCATAATGTAAGACTTTCTAGCATTGCACACATACATATATATGTTAATGAATCTAGACATATGTATGTGTCTAGATTCATTAACATCTAAATGAATGTGGGCAATGCTAGAAAGTCTTACGTTGTGAAAGTAACACATAATATACCTCTCAAGGATTGTAAAATCAGCACTCTAAAGAGCACTGGAAGAATAAATGATAATTAATAGCATTCATTAATCATTACTATCATGCATCGAAATGTTAATTGTACAGCTCGTCAAGCTAGTCGGTGAAATTAATTGAAATAGCAAACTACGGTGAGAAAAGGCATGAAACAGGAAAACACACCCAACAGTCTTCATCTTAGATATTAACCAGACGCAGCAGGCGAACAACATGATATAGCCTGGCATCAAATAGAGCCAGATCTAACACCTCGTGTGCTTCTTTGTGTTGGCGTTGCAGAATCATTAAGATCTGGCAGTTTGCCTCGAAAAGGTACGACTACCACTCCATGACCCTCTCTTTGCAACGTGCTGATCTCTCGTTCATAGCTATCCCAACAAGGAGACCCAGAAGCAAGCTAGAGAGCACAAATAAAATATTTGTTCCAGTCTCAGGCTCTCAGCTCTCTCACGCATGGGCTAGTTATTGGGCATGGCCCTGATTGGCATCACCATTTGACTTGGCGGTGACTATTTTAGTAGCAGTGTAGTAGTGTGTGAATGAATACAGTGAAGCAGCGAGATGTAGTAGCAGAGAACAGCAGCTAGCAACGGTATAAATTAAGAGATACAATGCGTAATGTACGTGTGCTAATGATGCTACGACTTGGCCTGTAGAACATAATGGTGGCAATTGGCCAGTGTTTCAGTTATTCTCGGAGTCAGTGTCCATGGGAGTGTGGGAAGAAGAAATGGCAGGAATTGGAGCATGCGATGATGATGGTGGTGGCTGGCTGGTGGCCGTGGTGATGGTGTCAGTCAGGGCACAGGCACTTCTCGTACCGATCAAACCTTCACTTCCAAGGCTTGGAAGTAAGAGAAATTTGCTCTCTGCAGGCCCGGGTAAAAGTACACGCATCTTTCCATATGTTCCCCTTCTCTCATCATTTTATCCTGTCTCCCCCCTTCCTTCCTTTGTTTCTCTCTCACTCCTCATCAATTGTTAGTTGATCGATCTGTCGATCAAGGGAACAATGTGGCAGTCTTTTTAACGGCCAAAGCTACAAACAACTAGCTCGAAACGAATATAATTAAGCTACAGAGCTGAAAGAAAGATCAATATAAGGTAGTACAAGCTTCTCGAGTCAACAGCGAGATCAGTTAAGAGGAAGACACAAGAAATAGCCGAAAAAAAGACAGAGACAGAGAGAGAGAGAGAGAGAGCTACATATCACGAAACAATTAATCCCCGACGCTGACATAATAACGATTAATAACACCTGAAATCACATGCATAATTCCCACGGAAATCCTCCAAGAAAGAGTAGTCTCCAACTCCAAGTGAAGAGAAAGCTAATTAAAGCACTTAACCTTTCTATGCTGCGTTGCTGTCGCGGAATCGATCCATCTCAGAACGGCGCCGGGCGGCCACCGCCGGCTCCAGGGTTCCATCCGTAGGCGGCTTCCGGCGGCAGCTGCACGTTTCCGAGTAGGTTTGGTGGTAGTCCTTGGAAGAGGCTTGGATCGACGGCCCCGCCGGCGAGCTGCGCCGCTTGCTGCCCCGCGGCGAGCAACCCAGCGCTGTCGGCTTGCCCTTGAGCCGCCAGTAGCTCGTCGTCCTCCAACGGCAGCCGCTCGTACACCGCGTTCGCAAAAGACGCCGCCATTATCACCACAGGCCCAGCCGCGGTCAGCGCGCCGACGACGCTGCCGCCCACGACCTGGCCCTGGCCTCCGGCCAGGTAGACGGTGAGCCCCGTGGCCTCCGGCGGGGCGGGCGGCGGGAGGAAGGAGCCGGAGAGGGAGAGTATCTCGAACCGGCCGTGGAGCGCAACGACCGCTCCCTGCGATGCGGGCTGCCGCAGCGTGACGTTAGTGACGGTGCCGGCGCCGCTGAGCACGCAAACCCCGCGCTGCCGGCGTCGCGCGAACGTGGTGATGCTCTCGGAGATGTCGCAGCCGCCGGCCACCTCCATGACGTGCGTCCGGAGCGTGTTGGCGCTGTCCCTGGTGATGATGATCGGTGGCTTCGGCTTGTTCTTGGACCCCGCCGGGCGTCCCCTCGGGCGGCGCGTGGCGCTCTCGCTCCCGGCGCCGTCCGGCCCGCCACCCGAGGGGGGTACCAGCGCGAGGTCACCGCCGTCACCACCGCTTCCATGGCCGTTGCCACTGTTCTCGTCGTCGTCGTGGTCGCGCTTGGTGCCGCGGCTGCCGAAGACACCCGGAGTGCCGCCGCCTTGGTCATCCTCGGTCTTGAGATGCAGCTGGTGCTGCTGCTGCTGGAGATGGTGATGGAAGTCGCGGGTGTTGAACGGTGGAGGAAGATGGTGACCGTGTATTGATGCCGTGACCGGATCCATCCTTGCAAGCTAGCAATCAATTAGCTAGGTTATCCCTCTTGCTCTTCCTCTCTCTCTTTCACTCCACTCACTTGCTTTCTTTTTCCTCCAAGATCTTTTTTATTTGGCCTCTATCTTATCTAGGAACAAATCTCTCTCAAGTCTCAAGTGGGAAGGAAGGGGCCGACGAAGAGACGAAACCTACGAGATGGAACAGTCGCGAGGAAAGCAAAGGGGGAGAGGAGGATGGAAGGGGAGGAAAGCTAAGGAGGATGCATGGTGCTCTACTACTGGTGTGGTGTGGTGGTGTGTGTTGTGCTGCGCGATGAGAGAGGGAAGAGGGGAAAAGATGGGAAAGAAAGACGGCACCCTGCCTGGCTTGGTCTGGCCAATTCTCTTCTCCACTTTGCCGCTTGATTAGAATAATGATAGGTGGGAGGGAGGAGGAGAGGGACGCCACCACCACCACCGCTACTACCCCTCACCAGACACAGAAAATGCGGAGAGAGAGACGCCGAACGAACAAAGCAAGGGAGGAGGAGGGAGGCAAGGCACTTCTCATGTCAACCACCAACTTCTCAGCTGCTTGATTCTAGGGCATCTAACTAGACTAGCTAGCTAGCTACTCCTTTTCATCTCCCCCTCTTGGATTTGTGCGCTCCCCACAAAAATTGTTTCGTATATATGGATGTGTAGTGATCAAAAGTTGTTCCCAATCATCACATGTCTCAAGTTATATGTGTGTGTCACCAGATGCGTAATCTCAATTCTCAATTGTGTGTACTTGTACGTTGCTCTCAAATATCACATCATCTCAAGTTGTGTGGTTCCTTCAGAGATGCTGTGTTGACTCGGTGTTTTGGGCACGATGTGACCTGCAATGTTTCCAACTGTTGGCCGTCTTCTTCGGTAATCACAGCTAGCGCGCAACAAGTACATATATCCGTCGTGTCAGTGACGATTAAGTACAAGTACATATATGTCCACAATGATAAGTAATGAATGGATCAGTTCTTGTGCATTTCCAATAAGACTAGCAGCGTCAGAAGGAAGTGATTGTCATAGAAAGGCCGAACATGAGGTCTAAGTCCACCTGCACACACCGCAACAATGATTTCCTATATGTTTTCCTCGTAAGAGATCCCTAGTTTCCTTGCTATATATTTCATCCTAATTTGGATATAGTATATGCATGCATGATTAACCTTACACCAGAATAATAGTCTTCAAGAGGATGCATGAAAGTGACAAGGCCTAACGACATAATTGTGCCTCCTCCATCCTTACAACACCCTGCATGGATTTACATATATGGTGTGTGTGTGTGTGTGTGTCGGTATAACCAACCAAAAACCGCTTGGTACTAATCATAACAGCAGGCCGGCCGGCATGAAAGTGACTAGCAGCACAGCAGCTCATGCTTTGGCAGGGATATTCCAGGAAGAAGGAACTGGCGTCTGGCTAGCTGCTGGTCCCTTGGAAGAAAGGTTAATGATCCATCCATCAATCGACACAGTGCTAGAAGTAGTAGTACGTAGCTAACTCTATCCGGCATGGATGCTATGATAGATGCTTAACTTCTTGTGGGCATCCAAGAGCAGAAAACTGGAGTTGTTGCCTGCGAGGTTTGTCGTGCCGGGTATGCAGCGCCTGCCTGGTCCAGCCACCCAACAGGCAGTGCCTTAAATTAGCTTTTCGGACAGGCTGGTTCTGGGGAGTCTAACCCTAACTAATTAATCATGGAGGTCACAGCTCTCTAATCAGGTTGGCCATCGTTCGAACGTCTCCCTGGCTCCAACCTTGCGGCCATCGGTGTGGCCTCCCACTACTGCTACTCATCCATCCCGAAAGCCTCACTTGCCATTGGCCGCCGTATCGCTGTCTGATTGGCCGGGACTGAAAGCCCAAGCCAGTTAATGTATACTTATGCCGACCAGACCGGTTTACTTTTCTTAATTCCGTGGTTAGTGCGCAGCTTAGGTAGGCCCTAGCTGTTAATTAGTATAGCTAATTACTACGCGCGCGGGCGAGTCGTCGTCCTCGACGTCTCTCTCCTCAGGATCGACAATGTGTCAGATTATAATATGTCCACGCTGAGATGACACTTACGGTACGAAAGGTATAGGTCGTATTTAGAGGAGTTAGTTTAACACTTTAGGAAGTAATTTGTTGTTAGCCATTTTATGAAAATTTGAAAAAAACTAGATTTCTCAGCTTTTGAATGTATATCTTTTATATTCTATAGCTATATATAGAGAGAATCTATTCTATACTGCAGAGTTTGTTCGAAATCAACGATTTACCATCGACATTGTCTCTTTCTATAATATATTGGTGACTTTATCAATTGTTATATAATACGCCATTGGGTTGAACCTTCCTTTTAAAAATACCCAAAATACCCTTAAAGATATATAAAATTAATAATTGATTTATCTTGTTTGAAGTTTTAAAAAAATATGAAAATTTTTATGTGGCCTTCTTACACAACATGAAAGTTTGTATACAAGGTTCAAGTTTTTTTTGGTATATTTAGTTTTTTAAAATTTATTTTTATGCGGTAAATGAGAGAGAATTTGCTTATATAGGGTGTGTTCGGAACTCCAAGATCCCAACTCCATTGCTTCGTTTTCCGTGCGCACGTTTTTCAAACTGTTAAACGGTGCGTTTTTTTTTCAAAAAAGCTTCTATACGAAAGTTGCTTAAAAAAATCATATTAATCCATTTTTGAAAAAAGATATTCACGTGCTAATAGACCGCTCTGTTTTTCGTGCGTACTGTTTGCGATGGGAACCGACATTTGCGAACACAGCCATAAGAGGTAATAGCACATAAATAACTTATGCAGTCTATGAAAGATGATTTACATTAAAAACAATAATAAAAAGTATTTTATATAGCATATAGCATATAAGTTTTATTCTTTTTAAAAGATAGAAATATACAAATCTTGAAACTTCTATACAAATTTCCACGTTGGGTAAGAAGGACACATAAAAGTTTTCATATTTTTTGAAACTTCTAATGAGATAAATCAATTGTTAACCTTGTATGTCCATGAGGTATTTTGGGTATTTTTGAAAAGAAGGCCCAACCAAATGGCGTATTATATAACAATTGATAAAGCCACACGTATATTATAGAAAGAGACAATGTTGATAGTAAATTGTTGAACTCGTACAAGATCAGTGGTATATAGTAGATTATCTCCTAGACATAGAATCTCAAAATTTGAGTGGCATTAACTGTTTAGAGCATCTGGGAGAATCCGTAACTGCTAGAAGATCCTCCAACAGACTAGTAGCCTATTGCATATGCTGCCTGCCGTATTCGTTTAATCCATGAATGAGGGTAATATATATATAGCGGCGTAAGCTTGACTGTGATTACGTAAGACGAACACGACGATGACCAAGTATGTGGCTATATATAGGTTTTTATCGACAGCCAAATGTCGCGAGAGTCTAAACATTCAAACAAAATGGGCAGCGAATTGAGAAGTATTCAGTTCCGAGGGGTTTATTAAAATTTTAAGGGCACTTAAAATCAGTTTACCATGCATATATACTCTGTAACGATCAGATGAGTTAAACTTATACTCCCTCCGTTTCAGATTATAAATCATTTTGTCTTTAATCAATGTCAAACTACTCTAAGTTGAATGAATCAAGTTTGTAAATTAACAAATATAATAATATTTATAACACAAAATTAGTTCCATTAAATCTATATAATTGAATATATTTTTATAATATATTTGTCTAGGGGTTAAAATGTTACAACTTTTTTCTACAAATTTGATCAAACTTAAAATAGTTTGACTTTTACCAACGCCAGAATAACTTATAATCTGAAACGGAGGGAGTACATTTTTGCGACACATGAAAATATACATACGATTTGCTAGAAAACTTTCATGAGTTTTTTTTTGCCCCCAAAACTTTTAGATTCGTGCATGAAGAGAAAAAATTGCTAGAATGAAATTTTTCACACGTGTCATATGTAAGATCCTAGTGCTATCTAACCAAAGCGTTGTTGAATGCAAGTTTTAATAAGTTATATCATAGTTACAGTGTAATTACATAGTAGTTATAATGTAGTTATAATGTAATTACACTTCAATTATACTATATAGTTACATTTGAAAGTTTTTAACCCAAAAAACTTGCGAGAGATTTTTTAGATACCATAAAATCTAGCTATGCGTGTCACTGACACGCTGGCCTATTCTCACGTGTTATTTTCAACTTATACATGTTTATAGTAGTGTTACAGAGTAAGGTAACTCTTTTGCTTATTTAAGCTGTAGGCACGAGACGCCTGTGTTCATTGAACTCATCAAAGTTTGGGAGCTTTCCAGTCAATATTAATGCATACATATATACTACTCCCTCCGTTTCACAATATAAGTCATTTTAGCATTTCCCACATTCATATTGATGTTAATGAATCTAGACATATTTATCTATCTGGATTTATTAACATTAATATGAATGTGAGAAATGCTAGAATGACTTACATTATGAAACGCAGGAAGTAGTAGTAAACGTATGACATTAGGACAGCAACATACGCCACCAGTACGTAGCTAATCAGCTGCAACCAGCAATTTTTGAACGATATGAAATATTATTTCGATCAACTAAATCCTCTCACATGGATGAGCGAAACAACACTTCTATCTATCAAGAAATTTTATTAGATCATATATACATGACGTAAAGAAAGACAAATGACGCAATTTAAGTATGCAACAATCTGCGCTCAGATTATGAAATTTGAGATATATGCACCTTTAGTTGCTTAACATGCTTTTCAGCATATGAGTCCTACTTTCAATTACTAATGTCTTCTTTTGTAAATTCCTACAAAATTCATGTATTCCAAACATTACCAAGCATGCTTCACACCTTTTGAAACACCATGGACAGTTTTTTTAATTACTACCTCCTTCCATAGGAGTTACACTTGTTACTTTTGTCCCTAAGATCAAGAAGAAATTAACTCATCTTGAATATAACAAAGATCCAAGAAGTGTATCCATGCATGCAACCAATGAGTATTAAGATGACTCTTTGGATTCTGATAAAACATTTAATTTACATCCATTTAAATCTTCGATGCATAGAGATTATAAATAGGAACTAATTTGGAAAAACTAAAATATCAAATAGGTGTAACTATTGTGGATGAAGGAGTAGTCAATGAGTATTAAGATGACTCTTTGAATTCTGATAAAACATTTAATTTACATCCATTTAAATCTTCGATGCATAGAGATTATAAATAGGAACTTATTTGGAAAAAATAAAATATCAAATAGGTGTAACTATTGTGGATGGAGGAGTAGTTTAGAAACAAAAGTCATCTACACACAAATCGACAAAAGGTTTTCCTCAATAACGAGTTTGTACTATTTAATTTTGCCTTTAATTTGAAGAATTCATGCATATGCATGCCGCTAAACAAAGCAATGCACACAATGGAAAACCAGATATAATGTATTAGTGATTAAGTTCACTATACCTGAAGTTCAGCTAGTTAATACTCTATTTTCACGGGTTGAGACGCAAGTACATGTTTATTGGTTAAATAGGTAATCATCAACGATGAAGTCGCTAGTCATAAAATAT